CTAGTTTTCGAAAATCTAAATCGGGTTCTCGAATTGACGAAGGATGGGATGCTCTCTTTTTTATTGCTATTTTCCTTAATTGTGGTGTTAAGGTCATCATTAAGATTTCTGTCATCTTTGTGTTTTTATAGTCATGTGTATTTAATGAATATGCTTTTCGAACTAGTGTTTCGATTCGTACTGCTAATTGCTTGATGGTTTCGTTTGGTAATCTGCGAATTTCATTACATAAAACTCTTTGTTGTTGTTTGTTTCTTTCGGAGTCAAACATTTTTGAAAATTCTTGTGTAAATCTTTTCCAATTTGATTTTATTTCTATAGGCAATACTGAAAACCATTTTTGGGCTGCGCCATCTAGAGTTGTTTGTATTAACGCTGTGCGTCGATGTATCCAGTTTTGATGTAGTGGCGTATTAATTGGTTCAGGTCCTATATTTAAAATCAAATTTGCTGTGACTGCATTTAAATAGTCTTCTACAGAATATTCAGGGTCTGTTCGTGTGAATACCATTAAAGGTTTATTTGATGTTATTGATGATCCACCCATAAGGTATGGATTCATCGTCATTTGTAATGATTCTGCTGCATTTGGCATTTGAGAAAAATTTGAAAGTTGATTTCTTGTTATTTCGTGTTGTTGAAGATAATATGGGAGTGGTATTTCATTTTGCATTTGTGCTGGTTGGTACGAGTTTGCAATCATTGGGTTTTGTTGCTGAATTGGTTGAAAAGATTTATTAATTGGGTTTTGTTGTTGAATTGGTTGTTGAATTTGTGTATCTATTGGTTGTGGAGAAAAAATTCTATGATATGTATGTGGTTTCTGTATTCCTTGTCCACGATATTCTTGATTATAGGGTGTAAATATATCTGGTTGTAAGAAATCATCATCTGAGGATAAGTAATCCATTTGATAAGATGTTTGTTTTTTATTTTTATTTTGTTGAAAAAATTAATAGTTTTCACTACGATCCTGTGGAGGATGTAAATTTGTTTGGATATTTACTGAATTTGGTGGTGCCATTGGGTTATCCCAGTTTTGAGATCTTGTATAATTACTAAAATTTTTTCGTGGTTGATAATTTGTTTTTGATGGATGTGTGTAATTATAATTATGGTCTGCAAAGCTGTTTCTAGTGAACGTTTTGCGTGTTTTTGGCGGTATTGTCATGGGTCTGTATGTTTGGTAATCCATGTGTGAATATTTTGGAGCAACCGAAGGTTTAACGGTTGATTGTAATGTTACCTGTGTTTGTGAAGAATTTGTATTTCTTGGTGTTGTTAAGTTTGGACGTATTGGTGAAATACTTTGTTGTGTAGTTGTTGTGTGTACGATTTCTTCATTTATGAAGTGTGATGGTGTCTGGATATCTTGTTGAGTAAGATTCCTAGTTCCATTGAGGTTTTCATTGTGTATGACTGTAGAGTTTAAACTATTATTTTGCATATCGGGTAAAAATGTATTATAGTTTAATGGTGTTGCATCAATGGTTAATGGTATTACTCGTACATAATCTCTTACATAAGATATCGTACTTATTGCTTGACTTGAGATTGATTGTGGGAAGTTTATGAATGCGGGATGAGACCATTCGGGGTCCCAAACATAGTCTGATTGTTCTGTGATGGCAGTATCATCGTTGGAGTTTTGGGGTCTAAAGTTTTTTCTTGCTTGTGAAATTAAATCAATATTATGTGTGAAATAATCTATTATGAACCATGCCAAGATTTTTTGTAAGTCGTGTTTTGTATGTTGTGAATTTTCATCTTTCGTGAAATTTTCTTTAATTATATTTAGAAAACTAGAGAGTAGTGTGATTTCATGTCGTACTCTTATATGTTTAGATGTTTCTGTTGGTGAGACATTTGGTATCTGGATTTCGTTTTCTAATATCGAGATGTAACTATATATTATCGCAAAAACTTCATTGGTGAATATGGAGTTTGCTCTTTGTGAGTTATTATATTGGATGCTTTTTATATATTCTGAGAATATTTTTGAGAATTCTAAATCAAGGTCGTCTGTTTGAATTATATATTTACTGTGATTCTGGTTTGGTGAGCTGAATTCTATGGAGTAGATTCCGTATTGTTGTGTTAGGTTACATATATCTTTTAGATAGTGATCGATAATTTGTCTTTTGATTTTTACATCTGGGAACTCTGTTTTACATGGACTGATTCCGGGTTCAAACAAATTTAAGAGTAAATTTTTGCAGAATATATGCTGTCCTCTATCAGTGGTTGCGTCTACGATAAAGGGGAAAATATCATCATCATCTGGACTTTCTTCACCTGGGGTGTGCGTTGAGCTCATTTTTTCGTTCGATGACTGTTAATATGTAATTATCAATGTGTCTAATTGGTTGATTCCAATTGTATAAATGTACTGGTTTGTGTTTATACTGCTTTTTTATTCTTCTTTTTCCTCTTTTTGATGAATTTGAAGTTGTTTCTGAGTCAGAGAAATATAATTGATCATGGATTGGGCAATTTTTATCTATTGATTCTTTTAGTTTATAAAGTTCGTCTAAACTGTTGGTTTCTGATTCTGAAAATGCGTTTCGATTTTTTGAAAATCTTTTTCGTGTTATTTGTCTTTGTTTAGTTAGTATTTTTCTCTTTAATGTTTGTCGTTTTGTTCTAATGTATCCAACTGTTTGTGTATGAGGTGTGATTACAAGGTCGTATTTTTTGTTATTTATTTCACAATTGTGTAAAACGATTGTTTGTTTATTTCCTAGGTTTTTAAATGACATAAGGTTTAGGATGACGGATGCAAAAGGTTGTTAAATGATTTCTATTTGCTTAAACTGTTAGTCCTTACGATTTTTTTGTTAGCCTAACCTGGGTCTATTTGTTCAGGGTTGGGGAGAAAAGTATATCGATTCCGAAGAATGATTTTATACTTTCTCGTGGCTAGTATAAGCTAAGGTGTTAACTTACTTAATCTTACTTAAGGGTAGTGATTGTGTTCAGGGTTGGAGAATAGTAAATCGATCCACAGGGTTCAGGTATAATTAGAACGCGAGTAGTTCGTTAGATACTATTTTAAACTTACTAAGTCTAAGATTTATCCTGGGTCTGGTAAGAGGGGGGATCAAGTGAAGGATGAATAACCGAAGTTCTTCACTGTTTATCCTAATTTGAATGATTAGTTTTGTTCAAAAATTTCTATTAGTCCTGGGTTTTTAGAAAGGGTTGGATAGTGAATCGACGTTTGAGGTCGTTAGACACTCGTTTAAGTGGGTGGGGGAGAACAAAGTTGTTCTTTTTGATCCAAGGATAGGCCTTGATGATCAAGTTTTAAATTTAATTAAATAGAAAATGATTTAAGATCCAAGGATAAGCCTTGATGATCTGATTTTAAAATTAAGTGAATTTAAGTTTAAAATGGTTTAAATTTGTGTAAAGAATAGATTTAGTATTTTTATGATATTAGTGAGCTTATGATTGCTGTTATGTTTAGGCGATGAAGCTGGAACAACAGGATGATTTATAATTACTAATCATTTATTGTCATGCTACTAATTTTTATTTTGATTTTTCAATAAATATTTTTCAAACATGTTTTGTATATTACTGCAGAATTTTGGAAAACGATCTGAGATCTTTTTATCAATCGTTATTGTATATTAATAATTTTGTTTAGCGCCTGAAATGATTTTGAAGATTGACTTCAAAATTTTATGTTTGCAAATGAAAATCTAAATTCATTGCTAGTAGTATTCTAAATACAAAAGTTTGTTCTGGCTTTTGCCGAACTATCATATAACTATATGGTAAGTTTCTGCTTTGTCGTATGTCGTCTCTGGTTCGAGGTCTTCTTCCAATTCCGGGTAGTTCTGTTATCGTTCGGAATATTGGCTCTGATCTATTGAGTCGTAGAGACATTTCGATTAAATTATTGTCGTATAACATTTTGTAAATGTTTTGTCTAATTTCTAATCTATTATTGGTTAATGCTAAGCTATTAAGGTCTTGTTCGAGACTTATGGTCGCACCAGATGAGTTAGGACCGAAGTGTATAACTCATAGAGTAATTTCGGATAGGGTACACCGTCTGCTCGTCACGCTATCTTATTTTCGGCCGGATAGATTCGTGCAACTTCTTAGTCTAATACCGATCCTAATCTTACTCTTATACTATCTAGTCTCAGGTTGTTTAACTAGTCTCTGCTAGGCTCAATAGATCTAGGGTATACTGGTTTATTGCGGCTGCTGAAGTACTCGGGAGAGTTCAACTAATTTCTAAGTTAAATTCAAATCTCTCTGGTGCTGAAATTACAAGTAATTTCAGCACTTACAAACAAGTGGATTGTTAGTTAGATGGATCATGATTGGTTAATATTAAATACTTTACATTGGTAAAATATCTAATTTATCCAATCATAAAATGTAGTTTAGATCAGGTTCCAATAGGTGGCAATTTCAAGAACAGTGCATAAATTAAATTTGAGAACTTTAGTGCATTATATATTCATTTCAATTTCAATCACTTGTTCTAACACTAAGATAGTTTTTGTAAATACATTACTCTGCAAAATGAAATGCTATTCAAACATTCATATTTTAAACCTACTTTGCCTAAAAGTTTGGCTTTTGAAATAATTTTTAAATAAAATGCGAAATATAAAAAAAGCGATGCAGCTATTGAAATTGAACCTCACCTGTTGTAATATATCACCAACTGTTTCTTTAATAACGATGCCCTTTCACATCGATGAAAAAGAATAGTAATTAGTTTTGTGGGATCAAAAGTTCAAACCCATCTAAGTGTATGAAAAAAGATCAAATTTTTTCTTCTTGAGCTCAGACATCAAAATTCTTGGGACTGAGTATAAAATCGTTCCAAAAATGTCTAGTAAAGAGGCCCGAAATCGTATTAAAAAATTCAACCGAGCACAAAAAAAAGTCGAAACAAAAATAAGTTTTTTTGATTATTTTGTCAACTCCCAGAAATAAATTGATCCCTTTTTTCTTCTCTTTGTTTCCCGAACCCTCTGAATTAGTGTCGACGTCATCAACTTCACTGTCTTTATCCTTCTTCTTCTTCTTGTACCCTTCGTCTTTCTTTCCTTTCTTCTCTTTTTTGTGCTTCTTTTTCTTCCCTTTTTTACCCTTTTTACCTTTTTTCTTTTTGTTTTTCGCCTTCTTTCCCTTCTTACCCGACTTTCCTACTTCATAGAGAGTTTTAATAGAGTCATACGTTCCTTTGTCGTCCTCATCTAGAGGTTGCTTTTGGGCAAAGAACTTGTCGAAGTCTTTGCAGACTCGTTTTACGAACACGATTCCGTCTTGCAACATTCGGTCTTCGTTTTTGACGATGTTGTCAAAGTTCACTTTGCTGCTCTCAGGTGGCAAGGGGGCATCTCTGTGACCACCACTCTGACAGAGCTGAAATATAAACCTCCAATTCATTTCTTTTCATTTTGCCCGCCCTACAAAATCAAAAACTCTAATTAAACGAATTTAGTATTATAGGTTGTTACATTTTTCATAAGTAAAGGTTTTATTTTGTGTATTAATCCAACTAATTTCAAAGAAAATGACCGGGTATTTGTGCTCGGGGTGGTTTTGTTTTTCGAAAAAAATCGACTTTTTAACTATCAACTTTTGACAGATTTTTTTTACATCATCGAAAGGCCTTGTTGCCTTAAGCTCAAATTCGAAAAGATATTTCACTTGTGATCAATTTTTGTAAGTTATGGGGGTTTGTTTAAAGACTGCCAATTTGGCCAATGTGCGACAATTAACGCGCGATATATTTCGTGCTATTAACGAGAAAGCGGAGTTGTAATCCGTCTTAGAAATCGTTCCGAATTGAATTGAGACATGCTCTTTGGTCTATTTATTACCCTTGTTCTATGCAAAATAAATCACCTTGTACTTTAAATAGCGTGTTGGGAGGATGATTTAAAAAAAAACTCTCTTAAAATGTTTTCATTTTTTTTGTTTATTTTCTTAATTTAAATGTGTGTTCAGTTTTTGAAAATTTCCTTGAAAATCAACTTGACCTACACAACGGTATTCAGTAAGTTCATTGGCACTTGAATGGAAATGTTTTAATTTATGAACAAATGGTCATTCGGTATGTTTTTTTTTGGAAATTTATGAGGGTCTAAAGATAGTTTTCGTGCTAATAATTTAATCTGTCTTAGAAGTTTTTTCAAATTAGTTGAAACAGGCTAGTTGTCATAATTGCTACGCTACTAGGAAAAAAATTCTCAAAACTCCAAACGTTTTTTGAAGAATTCATCAATTCTTTGAAAATTAATAGCTACATAGTTCTTGAAAGGCAGTCGAAACATTCAGGGTTTTCCCTAATACAAGCTATTTTGTTATTTTTGGAAGGTTAGTTTTGTTAAGTTTTCTCAAATTGGCTTAGGATTAGACAAAAAATGAAGGAAACAAAAGTTGCTTAGATTTTCATTAGAATTATTGATGTTGTTTTTTGAAATTCGCAACCAAAATTTTACACTAAAATGAGTTATATTGGCCTTTTATATTTAATCAAGAATTACGCTGAAACTAACAAATTAATTGAAAAGAAACTTTTTTTTCAAAGAAACCTCTTACACAGCACAACAAAACTCTTGAAAAGTAAACTTGCTCAAAAAGCTTGAAATTTGTTTTAGGCCCAATTTTTTTACTTATTCAGTGAAAACATCCTTTTTTGGCTATAAAATTGCTTTTTAGTTTTCCAATATTGTTCGCTGGGTCCGGTTACATTAAATCAGCGCTGTGTGTCTAATAGCATTTTGTGCAATGTTAGTTAAGCTTCAAAAATGCTTTTCATGATGTCCTTGTTAGAAAAGATAAAACAAGACTGCTCGCATCAGGGCGAAACCGTGAATGTATGGACTGCCTTTTTAGATCTATGGAGCTGTTATAACATGAAAAAATAAATGTAATAAATAATACGATTTTTTTTATACATTTGAGATTTTTTGTAAGAATCATCACCCCACACTCCATATAAAAAAAGAAGTGATAGATTTCGCTCCTGGTAACATATCAATTATGGCAAAGAAGCTTCCTTCAACCAACTTGGAACAATTTTTAAGACAATTAAATCTCGCTTACGCGTTAATTGCGCAAAATATATGGCGCTTTAATTGTTCCAAATGCAAATATTTAAGCACCATAATTTTACAAAAAGCGATCACAGGTGAAATATATATTATAAATTCAAGCTCGGGACAAAAATACTTTTCGAATAATATTTTAAAATTTCTGTCAAAAATGGCAAGTTAAAAAGTCGAATTTTGTCTGAACAAAAAAACCACTCCGAGGACAAATATTCCGTTACTTTCATAACAAAAGTCGGAACAAAAATTACAGTATTGTTTGGATTGACATTCCAGTGAAAGAGTTTTGAAAACTTCCTTTTTAATCACAACTTTCTTATCTCTTTCAGAACAAAAAAACTAGCTTTTTAACACTTTTACTTTTATAAGCATTAGACCAATGCATCACCCTTATAATTACTCTAACGCCTGGATAAAGATTAAGATTGTCAAGAAAATAGGCGGAGTTTCTGGAGAAAACGCGGGAATCTGAATTGAAGCGAGTGGATAGGTGACGTGAAAAAATCATGATTAAATTCATCATTATGTTGTTCATAAAAATTAATGATTATGTTCTACGTAAAAAAAAATGTAGATATAGTTGCACTTGCATTTTTGAACCAAATTAGATGCTCGTTGTCTCTTCCAAACAGGTGGTTAACTTCTCTAGTCAAAGCACAGTTTTCACTTCCCAGCAAAGCTGACACTATCTCCATGTTCTTTTTGGTCACTTTTGGCAGGTGGTACTCGTAGGATAGGTCGAACAGCCGACTGGGATCCTTCACAATATGAGCCCAAAATAATCTCACTAGAAACAAGTCTAAGGGCTAAACTCAAGCTGATCAACACCAATTGACCCAATCGAGAAACATGAGCTTAATAGTTGCAGTGGAGCTAAAGTTTGTCATTTGAAACTGAAAACTCAATAATTATCATTCATGACAGAGGCAGATTTAGAGTGGGGGATGGGGGGACGCCTTCTTTGACTTAAGAATTGGACTCCTTGACGATTTTTGCGGACCGATCCTAAACTTGGAATAGACAATTTTTGGGGACCGATCCAAAATTTCTCTCTAAAGGCGCATTTGGCTCCAATATGGGATAGTTATGAGGGGAGAGCGCGCACCAAAAAAAAAATTTTCGGTCAAAATTTACAAAAAAAAGCGCTTGAGAATGTCATTTTTTGCATGTTTCTTCAAAAGAGTCGTTACATAAAATTTGGTTAAAATAGAGTGAATTCCGAGAGCTTAGAAAGTCAATTCGGTCGGCTTAAAAAAGGTCGTCAAACTTTTCAAACATTTTTTGTAAATCCGCTTTCTCCTCGATGAAATCCCAGATCCACCCCTGAATCATGAACAAGCTTATAATGTTCTTTCAAGATTCGTCCTCATCACAAAAAACTGTGAATCGTAGAAAGTTTTTTGGTGGATTTTGGTTAAGCTCAGAGTCTGAAGCGCCTCTGCCAAACAAACCGGTTCCCCAAGCTTAAGTTCTATTAAGAAGTTAAGCTTGAGTTTAGCCCTAGAATAGTGTGTTTTAGGTATTGGTTCACGTAGTTGGGGGCATCTGCCTTCTTGCATGCGTAGTCAATACATTCTTCCACAAACGCAATCTGAGGGTGTTTCTCTTGCGCATTTTCGATTTCTTCAATCAGCGATATTATGTCCGCTTTTATTTCTTTGCGCACCTAAAACATTAGAGGCAAGGGTTTTTGAAATTGGGGGTTTTTGAGTTTTAATCCATTTTTGTGAATAAAATAACACAATTGACAACAATAAAATGATGAAAATGATAAACTTGTACCGAAGTATAGCAAACTGTGGGTTAAGAGATATCAGTTGCAAAAATGCCCTGAAATTTTAAACTGAAGTTCACCGGTTGTTTCGATTTAATTAAACCTAAATGTAGGCCAATTTAGTTTTTTAAATTTCTTAAGTTTAAATTTAAAATAATTACCATTTTACTGTGCGCGCTATCACGGCCTGATAGTCTGAACTCATTATTGAGATATCGATCAGGGTAAGTTCTAAAACATCAAACAAAAAATTCACACAAATTGCAATTAACCCAGTCTTTTTTGCTGTCATAAAATGAGAAATAATTCTTTTAAGCTGCTCGCTCATGTTTTGAAATCATGAATGATTACCTATTGCTCTCTCCCCTTTACCTGCGCTGCATTTTATATTTTACCATTTTTAGCACCGCGGTTGGTTGAGTTGTCATTAAAATTGACATAATCACACTATTACAAATGCATGCATTTGCTTTTATATACAAGCTCGTAAATTTATACCCGGTGGGAGGGTAGACGAGCTAAATACTTAACTAACAGTGGTATGTTTGCACACTTTAGCTCGTTCTTTTCATCAGTCTCGCCCAGTGCCTTCAGAACCGAAAACTCTTTTCGGCTAATTGACCCTGTATCCTTAGAGTCACTTAGATACGCTTTCATGGAGCTAGGGATCCTGCATGTTTCCAGGGACGTACTGGAATTGCTCACCAACTGTTCAAAATCCCAGATTGTGTCGCCTGACTTGAACTTGATATTGGCTTTGCGAGGTAGGCGCAAAGAAGGCGTAGCTAAAATGTTATTTTGCATTTTTTTCTTGCAGTTAACGCTCTGATTCAGCGTTTTTTTTTTCAGAAGGTACAAAGAAGTTCCTAAATTAGTATCCGACAAAAAGGATAATGGTTTGCGCTTCCAAAATCAACAAGCCAGTGGCTCCCACCACTTTCGCGTGCTTAGTTTTGGCATTTCGTCCTCGTTTCAAACTTGGCTAACAATTGAAACATCGCCAACAGACAGTTGGAAAATAGTCATGAAAACTCAAGGAAACAAAATTATAGCCAACAGACAACTGGAAAAGAGTCAATCAACGCAAGGAAAGAGAAAAAAAACTGACTCATTTTGAAAAAAAAACAATCAGATTTTGTATTTTAAAGTGAAAAAAAAACAATTGACCTTAACCTATTTGAATTTCAAGACAAGTTAATGATTGACACTTTTTGGACTAAATTACCTCAATTGAGAAAACGTGAAAGACTTCTAATTTCGAAAGTGGAGATTAATACTCAGATTACCCTGTAAAGTTTTTTATAATTGGGAAATTTAAACATAGCCTATCGAAGATTAGAAAAGAGAAGTGAATGCAAATAAACATAAAAAACACTGACTTTGTTGAAAAAATCTCAAGTTTCGAGTTTCAAAGAAAAAAAAGATGCCTTTTAAGCTCTTTGAATTTCGAGAAAAATTTTTGATTGGCGTTTTTTTGATAAAATTACTAGAGAACCCAACTAGAGAAAATTGGATCAATAGGTAAAGTTTTTGTTCCGCTGGAAATCTAATAAGTAAAATCCACTTTCGAAGCTAGAAAACTTTTTACACCATTTCAATGTTCGTTTTTGGGGAGTGCTATTAATGTCACTTTCAACAGATGAATTTCAATTGAACTCAAAAAATGCATATATACAAAAATGCCTTCATAAATGCATCAATATGTATGAATGCACATCTGTAGTTAATAGAAACTTTTAAGACTTTTCCTGGAAATTTTTTTTAAAAAATCAGCATGACCTGTATAAGGGTCTTTACCATGTTCATTACTCTTAAAAGTTAAGTTCCATTCTCAAAACTAGAAGTTTAAGTTTTTACTCGTAATTTCTAGGTGTGTATTGGGAAATTTCATTTCAACTAACTTTCAGCAGTTTCTAGATGTGTATTTCTAGGTGTGTATTGGGAAAACTCAATTCAACTAACTTTCAGCAGATGAATAAAAATTGAATTCAAAAAATGCATGGATACTTAAGTGCATTCAAGATTGTATGTATATATGAAAATTTATATGAATGAACATCTAGAGTTAATAACTTTTTAAAGATTTTTTCCGACCAAAAAAAAACAAACAAAATCAACAAGACCTACATAAGAGTCCTCACTAGGTTCATCGAATCTTAATAAAAATTGACTTGTAAAAACATTAAACTTGAAATAATAAAGAAAAAAATATAAATGGCCACAAAGCTCTTCAAATTTTAAAAAAAATATGCATGACACTTTTGATTGAATAAACTCAAATTGAGAAAATTGGAGCAACGAGAATTTTTTATTTCGCTTTTTTAATTAAAAACTATTCTCGAAACTAAAAATTGATCGAGTTTTTTGTGATTTTTACATTTTGCTGTTCGATAGTGCAATTTCCCTTTCTTTAAAATTCAGCGTAGAAAAACCTAAGATTTTTACTTGTGAAAAAAAGTCACCCATATTTAAGGCAAATTTTTGCTAAAATGACAAAAGAAAAAGTAAATAACTTACGACTGAATTGAGCATCCATCAGTGCTTTACGAAGTGTCTTCTCATTATCTGTTGACCTATAACACGCAATCACACTCGCTCCCTTCAGTGATTTAGTTGTGTTAGCCACATCGGATTTGGCCAGGTGCACTTTTCGCCTTTTGTAGGGAATTTTTATGTCTGCTATCATGTATTCCCCTATGCCACTATCTGCATCGTGATACCCTAAGGTGAAAAAAGATTATTATGGAAAAAGTTATTCACCTTGTTGCCAAATCTAGGATTTCCTTTAAAAGGGACTTTTAAATAAAATTATAAAAACTTGATTGTTTATGGCAAATTGGTTTTACAAGCTCTCCCAAAATATTATGAAGACCCTAATTTGTCAAAATTTAGATTTTTTGGCCAAAATGCTGATTTGAGACACCTTTTGGAATTTTTTGATCCCTCATTTTCTGTGTATGCGCCAAAGACGCTTTAGGAAAAAATTTAGAAGTAGTTGAGCAAAAACAGAAATCATTAACTTACAGATTCCAAGTTATTTGCTAAATTGGCTGTTTTTTTTTATCAGCAAATAAAACGTAGCCATTATACAGTTCGAAAAGAGTCAATATTAACAAAAAAAAATATGGTTTGTTCGAAAATTGAAAAAAACTAGATGACATTGCAATTCTTTGAAGTTTTAGAACATTTTATGATTTAAAAGTTTTTGAGAAAATAACCCAATTTGAGAAAACTGGACCCATAAAATTTTTTTTACGCAGTGTAATCTGAAAATAGATTCCACTTTCGAAACTGGATATTGATCCTTTTTTTCGTGATCCTTACACTTTTTCTATTCGATAAAAAAGTTTATTTTCATTTTAATAAGAGAAGAGAGCTGAAAAAAAATCAAAAGTCAAACTGCACAAAAATAAATTGGAGCCTGAGCAAATTTTAAAGCTTTTCCTAGAAAAAAAATGAGAAAAAATCAGCTAAATTATTATTAGAGTATTTACTAAGTTGAAGGCTCTCAAATCCTTAAAGGATTTTTCAACAAAAACACTGAAAATACTTTGAAAATCAAGTTTTGTCTTGACACAAACAATCCGGTTTGTTTCAATTTTTGAAAAAATTGACGGATTATTTGAGTTGGGTGAATTTTTTTCTCTCAATAAATTTCACTCTTACATAGATTACTACGTTCATCGACTCCTAAAAGACCTGAAAGATTTTTTAAACAAATGTGTTTAAAAAGTAAGTTTTGTCATGACACAAACAATCGTGTTTTGATTAGGTAAAATTTTTTCTCCAAAAAATTCATAATTACAAAGATTACTACGTTCATTGACTCTTAAAAATTTATCGCAACCTATACAAGAGTCTGAGCAACAACTTTTATCGACTATTAAAAAAATCATCACAACACATATAAGATTCTGAACTACGTTCAACGACTCTTAAAAACATTTTAAGGGGGTACCTTCGGTACCATTCAGGGGCGGATTAAGGGGGGCGGTGAAGGTTTTGTTCGCTCGGAAATCTGAAAGTCCAAATAAGATTTTGTTTTTCGTGACTTCTCCGCTTTCGTAATTGGAGAGCGCAATTGGCCTACTTTTTCCAGTAAATGTTGAATTGAACTCAAAAAATCTTACCTAACTATAGCTAGGTGCAGTAGCGGATTTAAAGAGGCGGGGGCTTACCCCCCCCCCCCCTCAGGGATTTGAACCCCTGCCGACCCAAAGGGTCCCTTTTGTACAATTTTGATATATCCATTTTTGGCGATGGATCCTAAGAATTTTCTAACGGCGCCTTTGGCGCCAATATATACTAATTTTGAGGGGTGAAAACTGCGCCACTAAAAATTGTGCCACAATTTTTCAAAATTTTGCCTGCGCCGCAAAAAAATTGGCCAAAATAGGGCTTTTTTAATGCTTTGGGAGAGCTCGGACAATCACTTTGGTCGACCTAAAAAAGTTTGACAAATGTTTGAACTTTTTTTGAAAATCCGCCCCCCCCTTCCATGAGAAAATCCTAGATTCCCTCATGGTACCATTATATAAATGTTTAAAGGATGCGCGCGTATTGACAATTGCAATTATTGGGCCAAGTCTACTAAAAATGCTGAAGACGTTATAGTATTCCAAAGTTTCCCGAGCAAGTTACTGCTCAAAAAGTTTCGGCAGCAAAACAATCGACTTGCAGGTAATCGTCATTAAATTCTTTTCAACAGATCCCATATGTATTACTACAAGCCAAAAAACGCAAATGTCACTAACGACTTTTAGCGGGGTTAACAGTGGCTCAAAAATACATCCTTCTCAATTGATCTAAGCCTGTGTGTGCTCTTACACACCAGCGATGTGTTGTTGTACGGTCGCATACTTTTGCTTGAAATTATTCTAAAAAGTTTACAAGCAAAAAATTCAAAAAGCCCCCTGGTTGGGGTCAAACTTTCAACTTACGTATTGGAACCTGATCTAAACTACATTTTATGATTGGATAAATTAGATATTTTACCACTGTAAAGTATTTAATATTAACCAATCATGATCCATCTAACTAACAACCCACTTATTTGTAAGTGCTGAAATTACTTGTAATTTCAGCACCAGAGAGATTTGAATTTAACTTAGAAATTAGTTGACTCTCCAAGAAGACTTCAGCAACCGCAATAAACCAGTATACCCTAGATCTATTGAGCCTAGCAGAAACTAGTTAAACAACCTGAGACTAGATAGTATAAGAGTAAGATTAGGATTGGTATTAGACTAAGAAGTTGCACGAATCTATCCGGCCGAAAATAAGATAGCGTGACGAGCAGACGGTGTACCCTATCCGAAATTACTCTATGAGTTATACACCTCGGTCCTAACTCATCTGGTGCGACCATAAGTCTCGAACAAGACCTAAATAGCTTAGAATTAACCAATAATAGATTAGAAATTAGACAAAACATTTACAAAATGTTATACGACAATAATTTAATCGAAATGTCTCTACGACTCAATAGATCAGAGCCAATATTCCGAACGATAACAGAACTACCCGGAATTGGAAGAAGACCTCGAACCAGAGACGACATACGACAAAGTAGAAACTTACCATATAGTTATATGATAGTTCGGCAAAAGCCAACACAAACTTTTGTATTTAGAATACTACTAGCAATGAATTTAGATTTTCATTTGCAAACATAAAATCTTGAAGTCAATCTTCAAAATCATTTCAGGCGCTAAACAAAAATTATTAATATACAATAACGATTGATAAAAAGATCTCAGATCGTTTTCCTAAATTCTGCAGTAATATACAAAACATGTTTGAAAAATATTTATTGAAAAATCAAAATAAAAATTAGTAGCATGACAATAAATGGTTAGTAATTATAAATCATCCTGTTGTTCCAGCTTCATCACCTAAACATAACAGCATTCATAAGCCCACTTATATCATAAAAACACTAAATCTTTTCTCTACACAAATTTAAATCATTATTAAAACTTAAATTCACTTAATTTTAAAATCAGATCATCAAGGCTTATCCTTGGATCTTAAATCATTTTCTACTTAATTAAATTTAAAACTTGATCATCAAGGCCTATCCTTGGATCAAAAAGAACAACTTTGTTCTCCCCCACCCACTTAACTAGTGTCTAACGACCTCAAAAGTCGATTCACTATCCAACCCTTTCTAAAAACCCAGGACTAATAGAAATTTTTAAACAAACTAATCATTCAAATTAGGATAAACAGTGAAGAACTTCGGTTATTCATCCTTCACTTGACCCCCCCTCTTACCAGACCCAGGATAAATCTTAGACTTAGTAAGTTTTAAAAAAGTATCTAACGAACTACTCGCGTTCTAATTATACCTGAACCTTGTGGATCGATTTACTATTCTCCAACCCTTGAACACAATCACTACCCTTAAGTAAGATTAAGTAAGTTAACACCTTAGCTTATACTAGCCACGAGAAACTATAAAATCATTCTTCGGAATCGATATACTTTTCTCCCCAACCCTGAACAAATAGACCCAGGTTAGGCTAACCAAAAAATCGTAAGGACTAACAGTCTAAGAAATAGAAATCATTTAACAACCTTTTGCATCCGTCATCATAAACCTTATGTCATTTAAAAACCTAGGAAATAAACAAACAATCGTTTTACACAATTGTGAAATAGATAACAAAAAATACGATCTTGTAATCACACCACACACACAAACAGTTTGATATATCAGAACAAAACGACAAACACTAAAAAGAAAAATAATAACCAAACAAAGACAAATTACACGAAAAAGATTTTCCAAAAACCGCAACGCATTTTCAGAATCAGAAACCAGCAGTTTAGACGAACTTTATAAATTAAAGGAATCTATAGATAAAAATTGCCCCATTCACGATCAATTATAATTTTCCGACTCAGAAACAACTTCAAATTCATCAAAAAGAGGAAAAAGAAGAATAAAAAAGCAATATAAACACAAACCAGTACATTTATACAATTGGAACCAACCAATTAGACACATTGATAATTACATATTAACAGTCATCAAACGAAAAAATGAGCTCAACACACACCCCAGGTGAAGAAAGTCCAGATGATGATGATATCTTCCCCTTTATCGTAGATGCAACCACTGATAGAGGACAGCATATATTTTGCAAAAATTTACTCTTAAATTTGTTTGAACCCGGAATCAGTCCATGTAAAACAGAGTTCCCAGATGTAAAAATCAAAAGACAAATTATCAATCACTATTTGAAAGATATATGTAACTTAACACAACAATACGGAATCTACTCCATAGAATTCAACTCACCAAACCAGAATCACAGCAAATATGTAATTCAAACAGACGACCTTGATTTAGAATTCTCAAAAGTATTCTCAGAATATATAAAAAGCATCCAATATCATAACTCACAAAGAGCAAACTCCATATTCACCAATGAAGTTTTTGCGATAATATATAGTTATATCTCGATATTAGAAAACGAAATCCAGATACCAAATGTCTCACCGACAGAAACATCTAAACATATAAGAGTACGACATGAAATCACACTACTCTCTAGTTTTCTAAATATAATTAAAGAAAATTTCACGAAAGATGAAGTTTCCCAACATACAAAACACGACTTACAAAAAATTTTGGCATGGTTCATAATAGATTATTTCACACATAATATTGATTTAATTTCACAAGCAAGAAAAAATTTTAGACCCCAAAACTC